ATGAATTTCAAATAGATGATATTCTCACCAAGCCACTCTCGAGTCCCAGATTTCATTTGCTTCATGAGAAACTCTCTGTTCTCCCCATTTCCTCTTCTATTCAATCCAAGTTTTGTCTGGGGTACAATAGGGATAGTCATCCAAAACTTGAATCGCATCACGTTGATGTTAGTGGCAAAGAAACTTGATTCCATACATTTCAATGTTGTAGTGTTACTCAGATCAATGCATCGATATAGTTCAGTTCAATGTTTTCAGTTCAGATCAACCTTTGTGTTTTTAGCTCACATCAACGTTTGCTTGTATTTTTTAAATGGTTAAGGGACGATGTCATAAATATAGGTTGGCTGTAGTCCATTAACAAGGTAATGGTGAAAATCTAAAACTCCATTATTTTTTTGTTTGAGCTGGCCTGAGGGACGATATTAAGAATGCAAGCTGCACTCAAAAAAACAAACAAATATTGGATTCTAGACTGCTAGTGACTGCTACTCTCTAATGAACTAAAACTGCAAAATTCAGTTATGCTTCCCGCCTAAAGTCAAGTTGCAAGCCAAGTGGTATAGGTAGTTAGGCAAGTTGATCAAGTTGTTGCAAGTTGGTCAACCTGCTAAACAAGTTGATCTCCTTCCCAGCAAAATCAACGACAGTCAAGACCTCTCTTTTTTTTTTTTATAGTTCAATGGTTGAGATTCTCTTCCATTTTTGTTCAAGCATTTGCAATATAAAAGAACGTCCCCTGTACTTAGAAAAATTAATGAGAAACAATTGCCATTTCTACTTTGTTTTCTTTTAGTTTTTCAATCCTTATTCTGCGTTTTTAGATTACTAAATTTTCACTCTAAATAGCCTTTATAGAGACGAACAAGCCAAAAACGTAAGTTTGGCAAACCTGTACACACACACACTGTAGAGTAGGTGCCATAGAGCCAATTAATTATTGTAAAATTGATTATGTAATAAATGTTTATTTATCAATAAAAGGCATATTCTTCTATATCGTGTATGTAATGATATATATCCTTAGGATGGTATAACCATGACGAGGGTATCAAGTGTTTCAAATCTTGATAGTGAGAACCCTATGATCACATATGGTGGCCATTCTAGAAACGTCCGTAGACCAATATTATTTTGATCAAGGACATAGATAATACGATAAGGTTATCATAGTGTTGAACGACCTTGTTGAAAGACAGTGACTGGTCTCACTTGTCAAGGTTGTTTGCCGATAACCTAGTGCAACGCATGGGTGCTTGTTAGAGGCAAGTTCACTGGACAGACCCACTAGAGGATTCCATATGGATGGTAACCCTAGTGTCTATGGAATAAATCCTCTAACGGATGGTGGTGCATGTGATCCTTCGACTTGAGATCACTGAAGCGCCTTGTGTACCAATTGGTATAGTTTGACACTAGCCCAACGTAGTTCTATTCAGAGCTATCAATACGAGAGTGATTGGCTACATTGAGAAGTGTATCGAGACTATGATGGATCGACAAAGGATTCATCACTCCTGGGTACGGAAGAAGTTATCTCACTGGGTAATTCAGTAAATGGCAATGACACTAAATTTGTTGCCACAATGGGATTAAGTTGATGCTCAATCCAATTTAATATTTCTGTCATTGGTCTAGTAACTGAATACAAACATATTGAGGATATGTGAGGTTGACACTATTTATGTACCTTAATCTCGATGAGATAACAGTTGATGAAAGGATTTGATTGCACGGTAACCATACCATTGACAGGCTGCGATTTCGCTGAATCTAAATTTATCGGGTGGCCATGATGCCTTGCTAAGTGCCAATCTTGGTGTGTGTGTATAGTGAGACGATTAATTGGTGTTAATCGTGATACTATTCACTACCGATATGATAAGGAGCCTACGGGTCACACACTTATAAGATAATTTAAGAATCAATTTGTGAGAAGGGTATTTTTGTCTTTTAGGACAAAAGGGTATTTTGGTAATCTCACAATGCAATTAAATTTGCTGAGGTTGTTGCCTATATTTAATTTTAATATTAAAATTAAATTAGTGAGATTATATTTAAACATATCTATGTATATATTTAAATGAATTATTATTATTAATTAAATGTTAATATATTATTATATATTAATTGATTTTAATTATAATAATAATTAATTAATTAAAATACCATAAAGGGTGTATTTGGTTGCAAGGGTGAACTAGGGTTGGAGCCCACGGTTATTCCTAGGTGGAATAGGGTTTTAATTGTTGCACTATATAAATGCAACTTAAAATTAAAACATTAGAGAATTATTCATTCAATTAAAACCCTAGCCACCCTATCTCTCTCTCTCTCAAGAAGAAAACTTTTCTTGTTCTTCTTTTTTGATTCTTGAAGCCCTTGATTGTTTTAGCAAAATAATCAAGGATTCTACAGATTATCTTCGTGTGGACTTCCATGAGTGCGATCCTACTTTAGATCGATTGGCAAAAAATCACATGAACAGTAGACGGCAAACAGTAACCGTGAACAGTGTTCTTGTCCAAAATCAGAGATATTCGAAGGAATAATTGTACATAAGTATTCTAATCCTTGAATGGATTTACTTTATACAGATTTTTGTTTATAAACATGTAAACAGTATAATCTATACTCGGATCTAGGCAAAGAAAGGTAATTGATTTACCGATTAAATTTTTGTTTTCCCTTGCGTATGGTAGATCAATTACTTACACACACAACTGTTGTGCACACACAGAACATAAGTTTGACAAAAATATTCTACACTAACAATATTTGTTTAAAAAAAAAAAAGTTATAGTCAAAATTAGCACTACACACACATAAATATAATAAATTACACCTACTCCGTTATGCCTTGACTTTGTTTTTCCTTTCTAAGTCAAATCGTCTTTTTTAATTATCTTCTTCATTATAATGAAATCTTGTATGAATCCATTGGTTAATCATGTTTTGAAAACGTTAGACATGAAAAATAATTTTTCTGATTAATTGACCACGTGAAGGTTACATGAATGACATCTTAATTAGGATATAAATGTTTTATCCACCTTGATGTTCTGGTCAACTATGTTCTAGGTTTTGCGTTTTAAAATACTAGGATTTATCTTCGTTGAACTAAAAAAATGTTTACATAATCAATTAATTGGGATGATTTTTTTGTTTAAAAACCAAAATATCTCTCATTTTGATATTATCTCAGTTTTAAAAGCTTCATTCTACCTCTTTTCTTTAATGTTTATTATAATTACAGAATAGATCATAGCATATTAAACCTAAAAAGGGTTAAATGTAGTTAACTCTTTAATTAGTTGTACAAGCTCTGTTAGGATCTCACATTGGGATCTCACACCGACCAAGTGTGGTACTTAAGCCTAGGGACTCTCACACCTGTCAGACCGGTCTTTTAGGTTGGGATCCCCTTTGGGTTTGAGTTTTAACATTAGTGCTTTTCGTTGAGAGTTGAGCTGCAGAAAGGGCTACCTATATGCTAGATTAAGGTGCAGTGTGCTCTCCTTGGGAGAGGGAGCTGCATCAATAACTAATAAGTGAGTGAAGCCGCCCAAAATAGGAAAGGGCTACTGTCGAGTTAGTGTCAATAAAGTGAAAGCCACCATGGAAGTCGACTCTAGAAGGGGTTAGGATTCCACATCAGGATCTCATACCCACTGTGAGCTGTTAAGCTCTGGAACGAAAAACAGAGAGAGAGAAACGTAAAAAGGGGAAAGAGAGAATTCTTTTGTTATTTTTCTTAAAGCAAATTTGTACAATCATTGGCACTTTTATAGTGCTCTGATATAACAGTAACTAACTGTTAAAATACAATTGATATTAATAGAAAGTAAACGACAGTATTCATCTTTACTAACATCCTCCCTTAAGCTGGATAGCTCTGAATTTTACTCTGGACTCTTTTCCTAACATTCTCTCGTAAGCTGAGCTGAGGCAAGGATTTGAGAAACATTAAGAGTCACTTTGTAACTTCTGATACTTCAAACTGAAGCAAACTAAAATTGCTGCGAAACTAAAGAAGCAAACTAAAATTGCTGAAATGCATCAAAACTGAAGCAAACTGAAATTGCTGCAAATGCATCAAAACTGAAGCAACTGAAGCAACCTGAAGAAACAAACTTCCAGCAAGTTATTCCAGTCATTCCAAACCTCCAAACTGAGTCAAACTAAAACTACAATTCACTCCAAACTTCAACAATTCACTCCAAACTAAAACTACTGCAAATTCAACAATTCACTCCAAAATAAAATTGCTGCAAATTCAACAATTCACTCCAAACTAATAACTGCTGCAAATTCAACAATTCACTCTAAAATGAAACTACCAACAATTCACTTCAAACTAAAACTGCTTCAAATTCAACAATTCACTCCAAAATGAAACTACAGCAAAATCAACAATTCACTCCAAACTGAAGCAAACTGAAACTACTATATTCCATACTTCTGAATACTCCATACTCCAAACTGATAACACTGAAACTGAAGCAAATTCAACTGATGCTAACTGAACCTGATACTTTCAACTGAAAATGACTGAACTGTAAAACCATCCTGATGCTTCTGTACTTTTACAGACATAGGAAACTGATAGTCATTTTATCAAGATAAACTGAGGCAACTGCAAAATCACCCTAAGGCTTCAGAACTTTGCAAACTTAAGAAACTTTAGATGCATTTAGTTAAGGAGAAGACGCTTTTATAGGAGATGGAACTACTGTAAGTTTTTCTCGAAGATACTCAACTCTGGAAATGGACAGAGACTTGGTAAAAATATCAGCAATCTGATGCTCTATAGGGACATATTGAACCTTCAAGTTGTTGACAGCAACTTGTTCTCGAATATAGTGGGCATCCAATTCAATGTGCTTAGTTCAAGCATGGTAGACTGGGTTGGATGCAAGAGAACCAGCACTCTGGTTATCACACCAGATAACAGGTATTTTAGGAAGGTTCAGACCAATTTCAGAGAACAAACTGTGAAACTAAGTAATTTCTATTGCTCCCTGAGCAAGAGCTCTGTATTCAGCCTCCGTAGATGACAAAGACACTACTTTCTTCTTTTTAGAACTCCATTGCAATATGTTGGAACCAAGAAATAAACAACACCCACTTGTTGATCGTCTGTCTTGAATGTCCCCTGCCCAGTCATTATTAGTGAAACACTCAAGATGAAATCGTTGAATTTTAGTGAACTGAATTCCAAAATCAGTTGTGCCTTTAAGATAGCGAAGAAGTCTCTTACAAGCTTGCCAATGGAGTTGAGTGGGGGCTTTGAGAAATTGAGTTAACTTGTTAACGGAGTAGGCAATATTAGGCCTTAATAGAGTGAGATATTGCAAGGCACCAATTGTGCTTCTATAAAGAGAAGGTTTGTCAAGCAACTCACTATCTTCAAATGTCAATTTGTTTCCTAGAGCCATAGGGGTTGAGCACAGTTTGGAGTCACTCATACTAGTTTTTATCAGGAGATCTCTAACATATTTATCCTTACTCATGTGAATGCTTGAATCTGTCCTATGTACCTCAAAGCCTAAGAAATACTTGAGAGAGCCTAGAGTTTTCAATGCAAACTCAATATCCAGCTTGTGAACAATAGCATGAACCAATTTAGCATCATTCACAGTCAATATAATGTCATCAACATAAACCACTACATACATAACTTGACCATTGTGGTTATAAATGAAAAGACTTAAATCAGCCACTGAATAAGTAAATCCCCACTGTAGGAAAGCATTTTTAAGCTTCTCAAACCAAGCTCGAGGAGCTTGTTTAAGACCATAAAGGGCCTTTATCAGTTTGCATACATGAAGAGGTTTTTTGCTATCAACAAAACCTTGGGGCTATGCCATGTAAACTGTCTTGGTAAGCTCTCCATTTGGAAATGCATTATTAACGTCAACTTATTGAATATCCCAACCATATGTGACAGCCAAGCTAATAATAACTCGAATTGTGGATGATTTAATGACAGGGCTTAATGTTTCTAGGTAATCCACCACGGGTGTTTGTTGAAAACCTTTAGCGACAAGCCTTGCTTTGAACCTTTGAATAGACCCATCAGAATTTTGTTTAATTCTAAACACCCACTTGCATCCTACAATGTTCATGTGAGACTCAGCTGGTACAAGTTCCCATGTATGATTAGATATCAGTGCTTGAAACTCACTGTCCATGGCAGCCTTCCAGGAGGCGTGAGAGAGAGCTTCAGCTACACTACCTAGCTCATGGGTATCTAAGGAAGAGGAAGGGCTGATGGTGGTGGTTAAAAGGGAGCTATGATGTTTGGACTTTGACCGAGTGATCATAGGATGAGTGTTTAGGGAATGTGAGGAACCTGAATCAGATGACTCTATTAAAATAATGGGAATGGATAAGTGTTTATCAAAAGGTAGCTCTACTGCTAGCTGAATAGACTCAAAGGAAGTAGGCTGCGAATTTGAAGCTGATGGTGGAGTATTTTCAGGTGCAGAAGGTGAGGAATCTGCTATTGTATTTTTAGGTGCAGAAGGTGGCTGAGACAATATTGCATCTGTTGAACTTTGCTGACCACTGGTTGGGGAAACAACAACGTATGGTAATGGTGACTAACATGTATTTTCAGATGCAGAAGGTAACTGAGACAACATTGCATCTGTTGGACTTTGCTAACCATTAGTAGTAGAAGAAAGATTGGAAATGGATGGTGATAATGAAATACAAGTAGGGAACAAACTTTCAGCAGTAAATGAGGGATAAGAGGCAGTGTTTTTGGAGTTGAAATGTGGGTCAGTAGCAAAAGGGAACCTGGTTTCATCAAATTTTACACTATGACATATGTATATTTTTCCTTTAGGATCAATGCATTTATACCCTTTGTGATGCATGCTGTACCCAACAAAAACACATGTTCTAGTATGAAAATCAAATTTATAAGAGTTGTAAGGTCTTAGGAAAGGATAGGCAGCACATCCAAAGACTTTAATATGCTCATATGCTGGAATTTGTTTTAAGAGAACCTGAAATGGGAAAAGACCAGACAAGACAGGTGTAGGCAGAGTATTTGTGAGGTAGGAGGTAGTTTCAAAGGCAAACCACCAGTATTTCAAAGGCATACTAGCTTGAGCAAGAAGGGTTAGACCTTGTTTGACTATTTGCCTATGTTTCCTTTCAACTCGTCCATTTTTTTGATGAGTGTAGGGACATGGATGTCTAAAAATAATGCCATGATCAAGAAAATATGAGACCAAACTTCTATATTCACCCCCCAATCTGTTTGAACACATTTTAAGGGAGTATTGAACTGTTTTTCTGCCATGACATGAAACTGTTTGAATATGAGTTGTGTTTCAGATTTTTTTTTTTTGAGGAAAGACCTAGGTGAATCTACTATAATCATCTAGGAACTAAATGTAGTATTTGAATCCTTCAGGGGATGCGATAGGAGATGGAACCTAGAGGTCTGAGTGAATTAATTCTAAAGGTTAAGAGGCTCTTGAATCTATCCTAGGGAAGGTGGACTGATGTAGCTTGCCGAATTGGCATGCTGAACAGAAGTCAAAGGTGGGTGAAGTAGTGTAATGTATTTGTAAAAGATGTAAGATTTTGGCAAGAATTGAGGCATTAAGATGACCCAAACATGTATGCCACAACATTCCATTAGTTTTGGCAGTAGAGAAAGATTGAACATTTTGATTAACACTTTTATTATTATCAACATCATCAGTGTTACAAGGAGAAACAAATGCAGGAAATTTTAAAAACACATCGTTATTCTTAGGCACACAGCCAATATTGATATTATTTTTAGTATAGTCTTTTAGTACTGAAGAAAACAAAGCCTTTATGGATTCAAATGGACTAGGAGGTTGAGCTGGAATGAAAAACAGAGATAGTAGATTGAGGAAAATCAGCAGACAGGTTCGACTATGGAGTGATTGGAGTTGGAAGTTGATAAAGACCATCTTTAAGCCGTCCTTGAAGAAGAACCACTTTGGATTGTTTGTCCTTAACAACACAATGGTCAGCAAGGAATTCAACAATTACATTGTTGTCTCTAGTAAATTTAGATATACTGAGCAGATTTTTGGTAATATGGGGAACACATAAGACATTTCTAAGATAAAGAGACCTAGAAGAACATGGTAAAGATGTATAGCCAGTGTGAGATATAGTTAGAAGCTCACCATTCCCAACCTGAAGTTGCTTGATGCCTGAGTAAGTAGAGTTGCCAGTGAGCTGAGAGAGATCTGTTGTCACATGATCTGTGGCACCTGAATCCCTATACCAGGAGGCATCCTAGACAGTGGATGGTACTGCAACATAATTGGCAGTAGGATTAGCATGATGTGATGGCTAATTGTATGACAGAATCACCTGATTATAAGCAGTGGATGTTGTGCCATCATGAGTCATTTGAGGCTTTCCTGAGACTACTGAGTTAAATCCTGTTAGAGGATTAACTTGGTTAACTTGAGCAGTGTTCTAGCCACCAAAGTTATTATAAAAAGATGCTCCAGAATAACCAGTTGCAGTAGACATTGGACTTGAGTGAAAGCCAGCTGGTGAAGTCATTAATGCAAGATTGTAAGGAGGCTGATGAGGACTTGGAGAGGAATACATCAATCCTAGAAAACCAACTGGTGGTCTAGTGGAGTAAGCAGGAGCAAAATTAGACCTTATCATTGAGTTGCTTCCTTCGGTAAAGCTTGTACCAAATCTATGATAACAGTTTAGAGCTAAATGCCCTGTTTTACCACAAACCTGGTAGAAAAACCTGCCTCTTCCAGTTCCTTGTCCTCTTCCTCTATTTCCAGCAAACTGAGGAGGATAAAAGGTAGGATGTGGTGCTGGATTTATAAACTGACTTGGTACAGTATGCACAAATTGATTTGATGCTAAGTTCACAAACTGGCTAGAGACTAGATGTACCAGTTGCCTGCGATTAAGTCCAGAACTAGGGTTGTGTTGCGAAAAACCAGAAGATTGAATAGTTGAAAGCTGAGGTTGTTCACTGTGATATTTCTTTTGTTCACTGTAATATTTCTTGTTATTGTCACTGGTTGTCAAGTTAACCAAATGAACAGAACTTCCTTGAAATTCAGTATTCACGAGTGAGTTCAATCCAAAGTTGGCTCTTTCTAATCTCAGTTCATATTTCTATAAAATAACTTGTGCTTCTTGAACAGTCAAAGGATCAATTCTGGATTCTAATCTTGTGGTGATATTTACTACAGCAACATCATACTCAAAACTAAGGCCATCAAGTATGTAGTTTAATAGCTCTTCGTCAATAACTAAGGTTCCACTGGAATTCAGTATTTCAGCAAAAATTTTCATTTTCATGAAGTAATCATGAATGCTCAAATTGTCCTTTCTAGTGTTGTGCAACAGATTCTTAACATGAAGCATTTTAGTTCTTCACTCAGTGAGGAACTCCTTTTCTAATGCAATCCACATATCGGAAGAAAACTAACATTTCGACACAATTGTAAACATAGATTCAGATATTGAGCTGAGGAGCCAACTTACTAGAAATTTATCTGTCTTTTTCCACGAGTTATACGCTAGATTAGGTTTCTTTTCTACAATGTCTATTGAACCTTCAGTTTGAAATTTGATGAAGGGAGCTGGGCAAGAGATCAAACAAGTGAGATGCTCTTCCAGGTCGTGTGAACCCACAGCAAACAGAATTTGTGATTTCAGAATCTATAATTATCCCTAGTCAATTTAAGAGATATTACAGGTAGAGTGGAGGACACCATTGTTTGAGAAATTGCAGAATTAATAGGTTCATATGTCAGTTTGTGATCTGAATCGTGTTGATTAAAAGAAGATTGAAAGAAATTGGCCATCTGTGACGTTTGTCAAGTGGCTCTGATACCATGTGAGCTGTTAAGCTTTGGAACCAAAAACAAAGAGAGAGAAATGTAAAAAGGGGAAAGAGAGAATTCTTTTGTTATTTTTCTTAAAGCAGATTTGCACAATCACTGGCACTTTTATAGTGCTCTGATATAACAGTAACTAACTGTTAAAATACAATTGATATTAACAAAAAGTAAATGGCAGTATTCATCTTTACTAACACCCACCAAGTATAGTACTTAAGCCTAGAGGCTCTCCCACCTATCAGACCAGTATTTTAGGTTGGACTCTCCCTTGGGTTTGAGTTATAACAAGCTCACATACATGTTTGTTTCAAATCATAATGATAATGAATTAGCAATGTATATGGAGTTTTGGACTATGAATAGAAATGTTCAAATGTGAATTCAGTGTCACTGTAGATTTTGACTTGGTATGATTAAGAATGAGTTGATACTCCTAGAAGTGCAGAAAAATGGTATAAGTCATTTGATGAAATGATCAATTGCATGTGAGTATAAGCTTGATTTGAAAATGTAAAATAGTTGGATTAGGTAGCTATTACTTGGTGGGTAGAATTTGCTAATGAGAACACGCAATGAGACTTTATTGACTTTGTTCCTGAACTTGGTAAAGGCAGACGTTTTTATATCATAAAGTGTTAGTTAATTAGTTGTTTCTCTTACGAACATCTGTACTAGTGCTTGAGAATATACATAATGCCGCTTTTCTATACTTCAGCTTTTCAGTAGGATGTAAATAACTTGGGCATGGGCTAGGCTTGCCCAGGTCAGGCCCAGGCTGCGTTTGAAAATTG